TCCACCCTAACCCGCACGTCCCTGGGCACTACGGGACAATTTAGCACAGCCAATCCACCCTAACCCGCACATCCCTGGGCACTACGGGACAATTTAGCACGGCCAATCCACCCTAACCTGCACATGTTTGGAATGTGGGAGGAAACCGGAACACCCGGAGGGAACCCCATGCAGACACGGTGGGGGGAATGTGCAAACTTCACACAGACAGTCGACGCCAAGGCTCACCAGGTGTGGTGAAAAGTAAGGGACGGCCTTGATGACTCTCTTGGTTCTGGGTAATGAGGCATGACGCCTGCAGGATGCTTAATGAAGATGTTGTAGTGTGGGGTAGGAGGGATGGAGGCAAGTGAGGCATCTGGCAGTGGTGTAACAGGGCTGATGCAGTGATTAGGAGAGGAGTAGCGGACAGGAAAGCAGAAAAACATGGTCAAAGAGAGCGCTCCATGATCTGGCTCCTGCAGCTTCTGTGGTCAGGAGGCAACAACACTTACCGCTGAAGCAGGGCTGCTGTTCCTGGGGCTTGGCTTGGCCACAGTTTTCTCAGCTTCTGGCGATTCCTTTGCCTCTGCAAACACAGTGGGAAAGTGTCTGAGCAATCACTCCACGGGGTATGTGGGGAGAAACGTACACACCTGAGCCTTGCGGCTTGCTTAAGGGTGGGGCCTACCTGCGTTTTGCCCATCGGCGTTACCATTTCCAGGAACAATCACCTGGGAAATGGTCGGACTTTCGGCCGGCAAAGAGTCCTGTGATCAAAGCGCAACAGGAATAGCATCAAGTGGAGAGAGAAGGCAACATACAAGCCAGATGCAGACAGCAATGAATGACATTGAACATGACCTCAAATATTGATGGTTACAGCAGCTCAGTGGTTAGCACTGCTGCCCCGTGGGGCCAGGGACCCGGGTTCCATTCCACCTTGGGGCAACTGTCAGTGTGAGGTTTGCACATTCTCCCTGTGTCTGCGTGGGTTTCTTACGGGTCGGAAGTGGGCAGGTTGGGAGACTTGAGGAGAGTTGTGGGGAGAATTCGAGACTCGCTCCCATGGCGACAGGGGGAGAAGGGGGAATGCATTCCCATGGGGAATGAGGGGGGCGGGGAGGAGTAGAATGGGGGGACTCGCTCCCGCGGGGAGTGGGTGGGAGGAAGAATAGGGGACTCGCTCCCGCGGGGAGTGGGGCAGGAGATTGGGGGGGCTCGCTCCCGCAGTGAATTGGTGGGGGGGGGGTGGGTGGAGATTGGGGGACTCACTCCCTCGGGGTGTCGGGGGAGATTGTGGGATTCTGTCCCACGGGGAGTGCGGGAGAATGGGGGACTTGCTCCCATAAGGAATGGGAGAAAATACACGACTCACTCCTGCAGGGAGCAGTCAAGGCAAATTGTAAAGAAGCACTGAAGGAAATAGCTGAGTAAACAAATAGGAGAGAGCAACAGAAGAATTATAAGTTCATAGTGACAGGAAGAGGCCATTCTGCCCCTTGACCCAGGTGAGAGGTGAAAGGGACTCACTTGGAAGTGTGGATATGGAGCCAGCAGAATCTGGGATGAGCTAATGTTCATCTTGTGTTGCATTCAATTCTGGATATCTTATTACAGGAAGGATGTGGAGGCTTTGGAGAGGGTGCAGAAGAGGTTTACCAGGATGCTGCCCGGATTAGAGGGTATGAGCTATAAGGGGAGGCTAGAAAAACATGGGCTGTTTTCTCTGGAGGCTGAGGGAAGACCTGATAGAAGTGTGTAAAATTGTGAGATGCAAAGAGTTGAAATGTCTAATACTAGGGGGCAAGGATTTAAGGTGAGAGGGAGAAAGTTCAAAGGAGAAATGAGGGGCACGTTATTTTACACAGGGAGTTGTAATAGTCTGGAACACACTGCCAGGGGTGGTGGTGGAGGCAGATAGGATAGGGGTGTTTAAGGGGCATTTAGATAAGCACATGGATATGCAAGGAATGCAGGGATATGGGCCAAGGGCAGGGAGAAGGGATTAGTTTAATTTAATTACTGTACTGTTCTATGTTTGTCATGTCTGGGAGGTTTCAGACCAGACATGGCAGAGACTCATACATGCTGGAGGAAAGCTGAGGCATTTTAAAAAAAAACTTATTCATGAAATGAGGGGTGTCCCTGGCTCTGCAGTATTTATTTCCCATCCCCAATTGCCTAGAGGGCAGTTGAGAATCAACCACATTGCTGTGGGACTGGACCAGACCAGGTAAGGATGGCAGTTTCCTTCCCTAAAGGACATTAGTGAACCAGACGGGTTTTTCCCAGCAATGGATTTGTGGTCATCATTAGAGTCTTAATTTCAGATATTTTATTGAATTCAAATTCCACTTAACTGCCATGCGGGATTTGAACCCAGGTCCCCAGACTGTTATCTGGATTAGCAGTCCAGCGATAATACCACTAGGTCATCGCCTCCCCCCTTACATTTGACAGAAACTCTGTCACCTGCAGATCCACCCACGAGGAGAGAGTAACTACAGAGCCAGGCGTCTCTTACATTAATTTCCACTTGCTCGTTCGGATCCAATTCCACGGCCTGGCTAGCAGGGCTGTCCTCATCCTCCTTCAGTGGCTCTTTGTCAATTTGCTCCATGTGATCACTGTCTGTTGTGACCTTTACCCTCAGGACATGGAACGGAGTGGCTACCTCACCCACGCTCAGGAAGACAGGCTCCCCCTCAAACATCATGTTATCCAAGGTGCCCTCTTTAAAGCCAGGAGGCTGGTAGTCTGGCGGAGTCACTGGACGAAGAACACAATGGGTGAAAACGAGCAATCGTCACATCTCCGTAATGCCAGCTCTTTTGCTGATTCTCTTCAATCCGTGTCCCTTCCTGCCAGTGAAATCAGTCTCCCCTTACTCACGCGATCGAAACCCCCTCATGATTTTGAACACCTCAGTTGAATTCTTCCCCTTGAACTGAGGTGACCTCATGTCACTGGCGACGTTATGAGAAATAGGTGGTGGAAGTAAGTTGTCCTGGAGCGCACTCAAATAGGGAGCAGCCTGGGGTCGCTGGACGAGAGCTGTGAGACTCAGCAAGTCAATAAACTCCCACCACAAAGAAGCGCCGTGTGAGGGTTAAGTTACGAAGAGAAGAGATTATACAAATTAGGCCCATTTTCTCTAGAACTGAGAAGGTTAACGGTGACCTGACCGAAGTCTTTCAAGATCTTAACAGGAAAAAGCAGAGTAGAGAAATTATTTTCATGGGTTGGCGGATTCTAGAGCTCGGGGGCACATTCTGAGAAATAGGGCCAGACTGATATCAGGAAGCACTTCGCTGATCCATGTTTGGAATTCTGTTCTACAAGCGGCAGTAGATGCTGGATCGGTTATTAATTTTAAATCTGAGATAGATACGTTTTTGTTAGAAGTCACAAAACACCAGGTTATAGTCCAACATTTATACTTCTAGTTCTGAGGAAGGGTAACCGGACCCGAAACGTTAACTCTGATTTTTTTCTTCACAGATGCTGCCAGACCTGCTGAGCTTTTCCAGCAACTTCTGTTTTTATTATAGTCCAACAGCGTTGCTCCTTCGTCAAGGTCCAAAAGCTTGTGATTCCAAATAAAGCTGTAGCAACCTATGACTGCTCAGGTGAAATAAGAATCATTAAGGAGGGAGGCTAGAAATACAGGTACAGCAACTGAAATAAACCGGGCATCAAAATTGGCCAAAAAGCAATGTATGGTGGGAATGCTTGAGCCAAGATAGACACAAGAGGCAAGTCCTTGCAAGATCCAAGCTCTGACAACTGAAGCCAGAGAGGCACCAGAACACATCAGGAAGTGTGAAAGGGCAATTCAACCCTTCCTGACAAACAAACAACACTAGATGCTTGGGGCAGACATCCAGGCCCCAAGAGTAGAAGTGCCAAAGGAGTCACTATTAAGCAAGCCACCCGGAGCTATTAGCAGCATTCCAAGGTGATAGAGCCAATTAATTCGATACCTCTGATTTTGTCAAGTCCTTGGAAAGTTCCAGAAGGTAATCAGAAGGGTATAAGAACCCGGCCGGGCAGGACGCGGGACGCCCTCACTCTCTAGCCCTACTGAGAGGGATGTCAGGGTACAGCAATGACTGGAGCAGCTCGCCTTCTGACCAGAGAGAGAGAGAAAGAATCAACCTGTAAGGAGAGGAACTGACTGAACAATTTGTCAGACCAGCAAAGTTACCAGTATCTGGGATGCATTTCAAGTTTCTAAAGAATCGGATAGTTAGCAATAGAGTTGTTAAAAGTGTAACATTTAACTCTTAACGTTTGTCGTCTTCAAATACAGTTGCGAGCTGGTTCACTGACTGCAGACACGTGCTGTGTGGTCCTTCCCTGATACATGCTAAGGTACCTAGGTAAACTAATATTGTGAACACTGGTCAAGGAGTCTGCGGGGTCTTAAGAGATACCCTGCTCCAGACAACAAACCTGTTGGACCATAACCTGGTGTTCTGTGACTTCTGACTTGTGTCCACCCCAGTCCACATTGTGACATTTCTGTTGGGCACAGGTATTAAGGGGTATGAGCTAAAGGAGAGTCTATGCAGATAGGCCCCAGAACGGCCATGAACCAAGTGAATGGCAGAACGGGCTGAATGGTGTGACATGCTTGAGGGGGCTGAATGGCCTCTCCTGTTCCTAGTTTTACCTCTACCTCACGTCGTGCAACCTATTACAAAGGAGACTTTGGCATCCTTCCTAAAGCGATATGGACACAATGCTGTGGCCGGCAGCAGAAGTCATGATTCAAGAGATAGTGGGAACTACAGATGCTGGAGAATCTGAGATAACAAGGTGTAGAGCTGGATGAACACAGCAGGCCAAGCAGCAGAGGAGCAGGAAAGCTGATGTTTCGGGTCAGATCCCTTCTTCAGAAACGTCAGCTTTCCTACTCCTCTGATGCTGCTTGGCCTGCTGTGTTCCTCCAGCTCTATACCTTGTTATTTCTCACGATTCATGAAGGGTGTTGCAGCTACCCTTGAGAGCGCAGGACATCAACAAAACAACTGAACCACAGTAAGTAATGCTGACATGCAGCCTTGTTGTGTTTGTTCTACGTATTCTGGAGATTGTTGTCGCAATACACTATGCTACTGCCGATCATCTATGATAAGTTGTTATTGTGTACACTTAGAGCTGTACAGCGCGGAAACAACTTTAGTACAACTCGTCCGTGCCAGACATCCTAAATTAATCTAGACCCATTTGCCAGCATTTGGCCCATATCCCTCTAAACCCTTCCTATTCGTGTACCCATCCAGATGCCTTTTAAATGTTGTCATTGTACCAGCCTCCACCACTTCCTCTGGCAGCTTGTTCCATACACACACCAACCTCTGTGCAAAAAAGTTGCCGCTTAGGTCTCTTTTAAATCTTTACCCTCTCACCTTAAACCTGTGCCCTCCAGTTCTGGACTCCCCCACCATGGGAAAAGACCTTGGCTATTCACCCTGTCCATGCCCCTCATGATTTTATAAACCTCTATAAGGTCACCCCTCAGCCTCCGACGCTCCAGGGAAAATAGCCCCAGCCTATTCAGCCTCTCCCTGTAGCTCAAACCCTCCGACCCTGGCAACATCCTCTTAATCTTTTCTGACCCTTTCAAGTTTCACAACATCCTTCTTATAGCAGGGAGACCAGAATTGCACACATTATTCCAAAAGTGGCCTGTACAGCCACAACACGACCCTCCCAACTCCTATACTCAATGCACTGACCAATAAAGGCAAGCGTACCAAACACCTTCTTCACCGCCCTGTCTACCTGCGACTGCACTTTCAAGGAACTATGAACCTGCACCCCAAGGTCTCTTTGTTCAGCAACACTCCCCAGGGCCTTACGATTAAGTGTATAAGTCCTGGCCTGGTTTGCCTTTCCCAAAATGCACCACCTCACATTTATCTAAATTAAACCCCATCTGCCACTCCTCGGCCCATTGGCCAATCTGATCAAGGTCCCATTGTACTGAGGTAACCTTCTTCGCTGCCCACTACACCCCCAATTTTGGTGTCATCTGAAAACTTACTAACTGTACCTCTTATGCTCACATCCAAATCTTTTATATAAATGACAGAAAGTAAGGGACCTAGCACTGATCCTTGTGGCACACCATTGGGTCACAGGCCTCCAGTCTGAAAAGGCAGACTGCATTCCTGTTCATGAGCGCTGTTGCTGTAGTGATGCTGATAGGAGATAAGGTCTTATCATTGCCAACACCACAGGGCAAGCCACTGGGAGGGGGGGGGAATGAGGTAAACAGGCACATGGCGACACAGTACGTTACCTTCGTCATAGTAAGACAGCTTCATTTTCAGGCAGATATCGTTGGGAAGGGGCCCCAGGCTCTGCATCAGAACGTAGAGCTTGCGAATGAGCAAGATGCTGGCTTTCTTCGTGTCTGAACAGCTCACGGTGGTGCTGATCTTCTTGTTGTTGCTGCAGAAACACATATACTGTGATACGATGAAAATGGAGCAGGCTGTTCGGCCCCTCGAGGCCTGCTCTGCCATTCTCCCCCTACTGCCTTTGACTCTACCATCTGCCTCAGCCTGAGAAATAAGCAATGACCGCTTGCTTGGGGAGCAGGATTTCACAGAATCACTGACAGAAAAACTTCTCCTCATCCCCATCTTAAACAGGTGATCTCGTATGTAGGGGCCCCTAGAAAATCTCACTGGAATCAGGCAGAGTCAACATGGTTTGGTGAAAAGAAACTCGTGTGTGGTGAATTGATTGGAGTTAAAAATGACAGTCTCACACAAAGCAGGAAACCTGAGGGCGAGGCTGTGAGATTTATACCACACACTAAGCTGGTGAGCTGAGCGGGGGTGAGGGAGGCGGGGATACTCACAGGGATTGTGCCAAACAAGGCTAGCATCTTCAGTGTCAGGAATACAGGCATTTGCACCATTTTGTTCTTGGCTGGAGAATCTATGATTTCCATCGTGTCATTTTCAGCCATGTCTTCAGATGCCTGAGGCCCTGGGTTCTGGAATTCCCTCCCTAAACCTCTCCATGTCTCTCATTCCTTCCTTAAGATGCCCCCACTAAAAAATGGCACCTTGGACCGAGCTTATGGTCGCCTGTCCACAATATCTCCTTCTGGGATTCAGGGTAAGGTTTTGTTTGATATTGATTGTGAGAGAAGACTGTGTTTCTTGTGTGCGTATGTGTGCGGTGAGCGCGTGTGTGTGTGTGAGAGAGACAGAGTGTGTGTGTGTGAGAGAGAAAGAGTGTATGTGTGTGAGAGTATGAGAATGTCTGTGAGAGAGAGTGTGTGTGTGAGAGACACTGTGTGTGTGTGTGTGTGTGAGAGAATGTGTGACAGAGAGTGTGTGTGTGAGAGAGACAGAGTGTGTGTGTGTGTGTGTGAGAATGTGTGTGAGAGAGTGTGTGTGTGTGTGAGAGACAGTTTGTGTGTGTAGGGGTGAATCCACAAAGCTAGACTGCAAAACCAACCCTGTGCAGACACTGCATATCAATGCCCTCTTCCCTCGCTGAAGTGGCCTGTAGAAACCACTGAAGTTCCAACAATGTGGGAGCCCTCTCCAATAACCCTGACCCTTCAAGCTTCCTGCTAAATCAGAAAAGACCTGCCGTCAATGTTATTAGAATTTGGGTTCTTCAACATCAATTTATGGTCGTTAAGCGAGAAGCAAACCAGACAAGTCCCAAGTTGGTTTTCTTCTTTCACGGGACGTGGGCATTGCTGTGCGAAACCCTATGGTGCTCATCCCTGTCTCCATTTGAGTTACCTTGTGGAATACATCAGCTAAGGCCATTTTGGACAGCAGTCAGGAATCAACGGATTGTAAGAGAGTCAATGTATTCAAGTAGGGAGGGAGAGCAAAACAGGAAACTATAGGATAGCTAGCCTAAAGTCTGACATAGAGTAATCACTGGAGTCCACTGTTACAGAGGTTATAGCAGGCTAAATCATGTGATCAGGAAGGGCCAAACATAGAAACATAGAAAATAGGTAAAGGATTAGGCCATTCAGCCCTTTGAACCTGTGCTACTATTCAATACGATCACGGCTGATCATATAATTTCAGTATCCCATTCCCGCTTTCTCTCCATACCCCTTCATCCCTTCAGCTGCAAGGCCAGGTCCAGCTCCCTCTTGAATATACTAACGCTCTGGCCCCAACAGCTTCCTGTGGGAGAGAATCCCACAGGTTCACAGCTCTCCGAGTGAAGAAATTCCTCCTCATCTCAGTCCTGAATGGTTTACCCCTTATTCTTAGACTGTGACCCCCTAGTTCTGGACTTCCCCAACACTGCGACTGTTCTTCCCACATTTAGCCTGTGCAGTCCCATCAGGATTTTATATGTTTCTATGAAATCCGCCCGCGCCCCCATTCTTCTAAATTACAGCAAGTACAAGCCCAGTCGATCCGGTCTTTCCTCATCTGTCAGTCCTGCCATCCCGGGAATCAGTCTGGTGAAGCTTTGCTGGACTCCCTCAATAGCAAGAATGTCCTTCCTCAGATCAAAACTACACACAATACTCAACGTGTGGCCTCATCAAGGCCCTGTATAACTGCAACAAGACATCCCTACTCCAATACTCAAATCCTCTCGCTATGAAGGAGAGCATGCCATTCACTTTCCTCACTACCTGATGCACCTGCATTGGATTTGCAAAGGCATTTGATGATCTCAAAGATTACAGCACAAGATGTGACAGTATAATACAAGGGAATACATTGGCATGGTTAAAGGACTGGTAGGCTAATAGTCAGCAGAGAGTAGGGGTAAATGAGTCTTTTTCATTTGGCAGGCTATCATTAGTAGAGTGTGTGATCTCAGGTGTGTTGTGTATAAACTATCATTTATTTCAGAGTTTGGATTTGGAAGTAGCAACATATGGGTTTTAGTCTGTATGTGTGAGGGGTTTAATGATTAACTTGCTGGAGCCATGATTCTCTTTGAACCAGCATGAGATGGCGACAGCTCCAGGGCTGATAATGGGTAGTTGTTTGCATCAGGAGATTTTCGAGCAAACACCAAAGTGGACTACTTCAAACAGTTTTTTTTTGTTTAAGGGAAATCTGTAGCTTGGAAAGCTGCTGTTTTAAATTCGCAGAAGCCCTGCTTGAAGTTACATGTACAAAACAGTTTCTCCTACAGAAAAAGAGTTAGTTTTGAAAGGTTAAGAAATAGATTATGTAGTGTTTGGTTAGAACCCTGAAGTGGTTCTTCGAAGCTGAGAAAGTCTGAGCTTTCAGCTGTGCGACTAATCAAGGCTATCAAGGTCTCAAAGGAGGAGCTGAACAAAAATCTTAAGTCATGGTCGGAGCAAATTACTGCAGATGCAGCAGCTCAGAAGAAGAGTCATCTAGACTCGAAATGTTGGCTTGCTCTCTCTCCACAGATGCTGCCCTAACCCACTGTGATCGCCAACATTTTTTGTTAACAGCTAGAATATAGAATATCCTTTATTGTCACAGGTACTCAAGTACCGAAGTACAGGTGTACAGGAGTACAGTGAAAAGTTTAAATGTCACTCCATATGGCGCCATATTAGGTACAAAGTACCTAGGTACAGTTCTTACATACAAAATACAGAAATAAAGGGGAGAAATAAAGAAAAAAAAGAGTTACATTACTTCGGGAGCCTACAATCCACTGGTCTCAATGTGGACTTTACCAGTTTCAAAAACTCCCCAATCCCGGCCTCATCCCATGACCACCCCTCCCTCTCATCCCAGCCTCCTTGACCTGACACAACCTGTCCATCTTCTCTCCCACCTATCCACCCCTCCAACCTCATTGACCAATCCCCACCACTGCCTACCTGCACTCACCTATCACCATCCCATCTACCTTCGCCAGCCCCACCCCTCCTCTCTCTATTTATTTTGGAGGTGCCTTCCCCCTCCCCCATTTCTGAAGAAGGGTCCTGACCCGAAATGTCAGCTTTCCTGCTCCTCTGATGCTGCCTGGCCTGCTGTGCTCCTCCAGCTCCACACTGTGTCATCTCTACATTACCTTACATTTGTTCATAGTATAAGTTAGAAAAACGAGAACATGCTTAAAAAGATAAGCTTTGCAGACTGTCCATAAAGGGCCCGTAGTAGATCAGCACGGGAGGCTTCCACACATGGTATGCCCAGTCTAACAAGGTGCTGACTGCCTGCACTGGTCCCCGGTCCAACAACCGTCCCACTCCACTCGGGAGTCTCCAGTCTGCTATAGAAGTGATAGAGAAAGGAACTCTCTCTGGTAATATAATACTAGGAACTGTTGTGAAGTTGGGTAGAGTACTTGCGGATTAGAAGGCAGGACTTTAGAATTTGTTTGCAAAATGATAGGGGGAAGAGTGTGTGGTCCCTTTAGGAAATGATGTGCTTTTTCTAGGCTTAGAGATTTTAAAAAAATCTGCGAGCAGCAGTAGGCACAGAGAATTCCTGAAATCAAAACATTTGTATCAAAAGGCTGTATGGTTAGCAACCCAGGCTGTAGTCTTGTTTTGTTACTAAGGCAACCAGTTTGAATCAACTAATTAATTTAAACCAGGAACTTAGAAACTAAAAACCAATTAAATTTAAATCTGATGGTTTTGACCACCTAGGGCCAATCCTATTGTAAGAAACTGATAAGTCATCAAGGGTATAGAAGAACAGGGTATTTGAAAATTGGTGTGAGAGCAACTGCCATCTGTTAGAGTTAACAACCAGCAGCCCTAAAGAGAAAACCACTGGCTTTCATAGAATTCTCTAAGCTCTCAGAAAACCATCATTTGGTTAAAGGTGCAGCGGCACTCTTAGCTAATATTCCTGACACAAGAAAGACTTATCCTGGCTGTAATTTCGAGGCAGTAAGTTTTATGTTTTATTTATTAATTTGGTTTATATAAGTGGGACTTGTACTTATTGGAACAGAATACCATTAGACTTCAGTTTCATCTGGGAACAGTGAGTAGTTGGGGGGGAATTGTTTGGTTTGTCAGTAGTTCCGTTAATTTGTTCACTGTTAGAGTTAGATAAATAAATTGTTACTTGTTGATTATAGAGTGACCGTCAGGAGTTCATTTCATTTAACTTCTCCTTATTAGCAGCTTGACGGTAAGAAGTAGGTCATACCATTTTTCACGCTTCTTTTAACAGATTATAGAGTAGACCGAGCCTCTCTGGGTGTTTTGGTTTTAGTTATCGGGAGCGGGGGCAGGTGGATCGACCTCCGCTTTATAACAAAACTAATGGTGTTCGGATAGATTGGGTTCTATCGTGTTTCAAAATCTTTCAAATTGTGTAATATGTAAAGAATTTATCTTTGATTCCTTTCGTTTCATAAACATCTGCTTTATTGTTAAAAACCAAATGAGCGCAGTGAAAGACCCCTCATTAAATCATGGGGAGGTGGCAGTGTTGTGGTAATCTCACTGGAATAGGAATCCAGAATCCCTGGTTAATGTTCTGGGGTCATGGGTTCAATCCCACTCTGGCAAAATTCGGATTCAATAAAAATCTGGAATAAAAGCGAGCCACGTGCAAACACTGAACCATGTCGCTGATTTTCATCTCATTAAATAATGCCCTTCGGGAAAGCCTGGTTTACAAGTGACTCTAACCTCCAGCAATGCTTTTAAAATCTTCTTAACTGCCCTCGGGGCAATTGAGGATGGACATTTTGGCCAACATCGCCCGCATCTCACGAACGAATTTAAAAAGAACAAAACAAAACATGTGCGATCAAGCCAGATTTTAGTTGGGGATCTGTCTCGTCCCTTAACAACGTCAGCTGGGATCATAACAGAGGCAGATCCCGGATTGCGAGCGGGCTGCATTCTGCAAGTTGAATTGTACGCAAGTCGGAACACAGTTCAGGGAAGTGGAAAGGAGTACAGGAAATGTTCAAAGGTCAGGTCTGTAAGATGACAACCATGTATGGAATCATATTCGTAAGTTGGACATTTGTACATCAGCGACTGATCATCAATACCACATGGATCAATGTTGGGGCCTCCACTATTTCCAGTCACGTCAATGACACAGATGCAAGGGCCAAATGCATCGCAGCTAAATTTGCCAAAGATAGGTCGGAAAGTCAAGAGGAAGAGACAGCCTGCAAAGGGGTACAGTAAAGGGGCAAAAATCTTGGCATGGAATGGAAAAAATGTGAACTTGCCCACTTAGGCAAAGTGACATGCTGCTTCCTCAATACATCAAAAGCACATATTTGCCTGAGTGACTCAGACTGCCTGAGGGAGCAGTAGTATCAGCACATCATGGAGTCATAGAGTCATACAGCACGGAAACAGACCCTTCAGTCCATGTCAAACATAATCCCAAACTAAACTAGTCCCACCTGCCTGCTCCTGGCTCATATTCCTCCAAACCTTTCCTATTCACGTAAATATCCAAATGTCTTTTCTAAGTCGTAATTCTCCCATATCCACCACTTCCTCGGGGAGTTCGTTCCACACATAAACCATCCTCGGTGTAAAATATTTGCCTCTTGAGTTTTTTTTAAAATCTCTCTCCTCTTGCCTTAAAAACATGCCCCCTAGTCTTGAAATCCCCCACCCTAGGGAAAAGACACCTACCGTTAACCCTATCTATACCCTTCATTATTTCATAAACTTCTACCAGATTGCCTGTCAACCTCCAACGCTCCAGTGAAAAAAATTCCAGCCTATCCGGCCTTTCTTTACAACTGAAACCTTCCCTCACCCAGCAACATCCTGGTAAATCTCTTCTGAAACACTCCAGCTTAATGATAACCTTCCTATTAGTGTGCGACCAGAACTGGACATTGAAGAGGCCTCACCAATGCCCTGTACAACCTCAACACGACGTCCCATTACATAACTGAACACTCACACATAGACAATGCAAAACAACCCGCCCCGTTATCCAGAGACAGAAAGCTGGAGGTGGAGGCCTACCTTGCGAAGTCCATGGTGGGCCCACTCGTCAGGTACTTGAACTTAAACTGGTAACATTCCGTGATCGTCTGGAACGAAAGCACTGGGTGGTAAACAATAGGCATTCAAGCTCCCCTCCATGGAGTGTGGTGCAACTGAAGACTCGAATCTATCTTTCCCCAGCGCCCTGCCAGTTCAGAACGGAAGATACGCCAGCTGTTCAGGAACATGAGCTCTCGTAGACTCACAGCGGCGGTACAGCACAGAGGAGGGTATTCAGCCCATCGTGTCCACACCAGCCATCTGATGACATTAATCCTCGTTTTGGCCTATAACCTTAGATGTTACGGTAACGCGAGTGAATATCTAACCAGTGCTTCAATGTTAGGAGGCTTTCTGACTCAGCCAGACAATGAGATCCAAACTTCCACCAGCCTCTGAGTGAAAATACTTCTCTGAACCTTCTATCTCTTACCTTAAATCCATGCCTCCACTTATTAACCCCTCAACCAAGAGAAACAGTGCCTTCCTATGCCTCTCAGGACCCTCTCTACCTCTATCAGGTCCCCTCTCAACTTGCGCTGCTCCAAGGGAAACAAAGGAATATGGGGACAATGGGGAGAAATGGTACTTAGGCATATCACAAGCCACGGTCGGTTTTAATGTTCCAGCAGACACAATTGGCTGAACAGCCTCCCCGTGCTCCTAATTTCTATGAAAACAAAGGAACAACTGTGCAGGTGAGAACGGCAGAGAAACGTAGTATAAATAAATGCATTTAGACCCGGAGAAAGGAAAGATAGTTCAACGTGGCAGCACTGGCACAGTGGGCAGTATTTGGGCTTTTGAGCTAGTGGCATTAGCTCTAGGCTAGTGGCATTCTTTTCTCTCTCCATTTCATCTTTCTTTCTTCCTTGATCTTCGAGGTCAGAGTGGTGTCGGTGGGGCGGAGGCTGCAGTAATGGATTGGGACTCCTCCGTGCCTAAAGCATGGTAGGCCCGGAGCCTGGACTCTTGACCCCGGCAGTAAGGCAGCTGACCCGAAATAAGGAATCCTCGGAGTCACTGTTGCCGTACCCAGAGCGGGAGCTCCTTGAGGCCCGGAACACCTCGCAGAGATCTTATAGAAACCCTGCAGCCACGTTTGAGTCCTAAGCTGAACAGAAGATGAACTCACTCAAAAGACAGAAGGACGGGAGAGGGAATCAAGCAACGAGGGCGTGAGCAAGAGGAGAAGGCGGGAAACTGCACACAGACGGGATGAGAAATGCAAATGGAAAGGAGGAGGAAATGAGACGAGGATGCAAAAAGTAAGAAGAGCATGAAACGTAGAGAAGAGAGGGAGAAGGATCGCAGTGAGTGAATGGAAGTAGAGACGGAAGACCACAGAAGGCAAGGTCAAGTCAAATAGGAAAAGTGGGAAGGAAGAAGATGGAAAACACTGGAAACCCTTTAGTGGTGGACACCAAAAATGAAAGTACAAGTGAAATTGTGTGCTGGAGCCAGATCTTCAATCTATGTTTGGTTTCCCCACTGTGAATACGCTAATGATATATTATTCAGAAATTACCTGAGGATCTTCCTCATTTGTGTAGATCTGTGGATCAAAGCAAACACGCAAAGGCATAAGCAAACCATTGGTCACAGATCAGCGAGTGGAAGTCAGGTGTTTCAAAACAAAGCTAATGCCAACAAAATACTCACAGCTAAAATCAGCATTCGCAGCTGTTAAAAGGAAGGTAAAAGATAGTTTTAATCGGAGTAAACATTTCCATGGCTGCTAATAATGCACTATTACATAAAAGTTAAACTTTTGATTTAATATACTTTGCCTCACTCCCGCCAAATGCCTTTGTTTCAACGTGTCAGCCCTACAGCCCAGCAGGTAGAGCCCTAGCCTCGGACAGTAGGAGCCTGACTTCTGGCGCCGGGAATGCCAGGCTTCGGGATTGAGGGAATTGTCGTCTCGTTTGATAAGGGCTTCCGTGGCGGTCCTCTTAGACGGTCCAAAATGCTCCCAGGGTCACGAATGCTAAGAGCAAGGGAGCATGCCAAGATTTAACTCCTCAACCGGAATCTTTCCACAGGCCGTGAGGCCGTGCTCCTTCCCCAGGCTTACAAGCAGAAACTGAGGCAACGAGGGTCTAGTACAGACAGTCGTAAAGTGCTGATCTGAAGTAACGGACAAGCTCCTGCGTGACCGCTCGGTCCTGGTGAACTGGTCCATATTCAAGAACTCAGCGGCTAACCTCCATGAGCATGCCAGAGACTTCATCGGTAAGTGTGCAGAGGGTTGCGTGCCAAAGAAGTTAATCCGAATGTTGCCTAACCGGAAACCACGGATGAACCACGAGATCCGATCTGAAATAACCCCACAGAGGCCGGTATCCTATCATCAACTCACCCTTTATTTACTCATGAACAGTCCTTGACTTTAGTTCTACCTCTTCAGAGTCAGCTACCAGACTGTCAGCATCTGTGGCACTCCTCTCCTTTATAGTCTGTCAGCCAGGGCTCCCTGATTGGGGCTGTTAATCTGATCCAACCAGGGAACTCAGATTCTAAGAGGTCCCACTGGCTGACCTCATTCCAATCACTAACACACTCCCTACTGAAGTCCAGGTCTGAGGCGTTCAAGTTGGGCGACCCTGAGCTTCACAGGAAATCGAGGTACAATCTTCGCAAAGCCATCAGGGAGACCAAGAGACAATACCAGGCTAAACTAGAGTCCCAGACTAACCACACAGACACACGCTGACTGTGACAAGGCTTACACAATATAACGGGCTACGAAGCGAAGTCAAGTACAATCGCTGACAACAATGCATGGCTCCCTGATCAGCTCAATGCATTCCATGACAACAAGGTGCAGGGCTGGATGAACACAGCAGGCCAAGCAGCATCATAGGAGCAGAGAGGCTGAAAGATTCAATGCATTCCATGCTCGTTTTGAACAGAAGGTCAGTGAAATGATGCCAGGTACCCACAGTCACCACTGCAGATGTCAGATCGGCCTTCTTGAGGGTGAACCCTTGGAAAGTGAGCGGCCCAACTGAATCCCCGGCCGTGCATGCTGATCCTGTACAGACCAGCTGGTGGCAGCATCTGCAGACATGTTCAATCTCTCCTTACTATGCTGTGAGGTTCCCACCTGCTTCAAGAAAACCACTACCATCCCGGTGCCAAAGAAAAAGCAGGCAGTGTGCCTTAATGGCTACCACCCAGTGGCTCTGACATCCATCGTTATGAAGTACTTCGAGATTGCCCTGATCCACAACAATTCACCTGGTGTCGCAACAGATCCACGGCAGACGCCATTTCCCTGGTCGTACACTCATCCCTGGAACATCTGGGTAACGAGGACGCCCGTGTCAGGCTCCTCTTTATTGATTTTAGTTCCGCCTTCAACACCATAATTCCAACAAAACTCATCTCCAAACTGGAGACCTAGAGCTCTGCTCCCCTCTCTGGATCCTTGATTTCCTGACCCACAGGCTGTAATCAGTAAAGTTAAGAGAACAACATCTTCTCCACAGTAATCCTCAAAGCTGGTGCCCTGCGAGGCTGCGTGCTCAGCCCCCTTCCTATACTCCTTATACACTCATGACTGTGGCCAAATTCAGCTCTAACTCCATTTACAAATTTGCTGATGACACCGCTGTAGTCGGATCTGAAACAACGCCGAGACAGAGGATGGAGAAGAGATAGAAGGCTTAGTGGCACTGTGTTAAGACTAAATCTCTCCCTCAATGTCAGCAAAACGAAGAAGCTGGTCACCGACTTCAGGAAGCAGAGGGAGAGCACTCTGCCTGTATCAATGGAACTGAGGTGGAGATGGTCAAGAGCTGGGAGTAAATATCACCAACAAACTGTCCTAGTCCATCCACATCAATGCTACAGTCAAGAGAGCACACCAACGCCTCTACTTCCTCAGGAGGCGAAGGAAATTCAGCATGTCCACAAAGACTCTCACCAATTTTTACAGATGTACCATAGAAAGCATCCTATCTGGATGCATCGCAGCTGGGTAGGACAATTGCTCTGCCCTTCCGCGTGAGATTACAGAGAACACAACCCGGTCCACCATGCAAACTAGCCTCCCTTCCACTGACTCTGTCTACACTTCAAGCTGTCTCGGGAAAGCAGGCAACATAATCAAAGACCCCTCCAACCCTGGTTATAATCTCTTCCACCCGCTTCCATCAGGCAGACGATACAACAGACGGAAAACGTACCAACAGATTCAAGAACAGCTTCTTCCCCGCTGTTATCAGACTTATGAATGGACCTCTCATTTTTGGAGCTGATCTTTCTCTGCATCTCCTCTGTAGCTGTAACGATGTATTCTGTTCTATCACCCTGAGGAACTTATGTAAAGTAGGATTTGTCTGGCTAGCACATAAAACGATATTTTCCACTGTATCTCGGTGCAGGTGACAATAATAAATCAAACAAAATCAAATCTGGGTCATTGTCGTATTGCTGTTTGTGGGATCTCACTACTGCACAAACTGTAACATTGAGTGGACGTCAGTGAAAATAAATGCCCCATTTTGTCAGGTCTGACGTGCACTAGGATGTCCTGAGGTCAGGAAAGGTGAGGCGCATATGCAAATTATTTTACCACACGTGGTATTTGGCAGTTGAGATACAGAAAAGCTACCGTCGGATAGAATGGCAGTTCAGCAGGGGCTGAATGGCCTCTTCGTATTCTTCTGCCTGTAGGAATACCCTACCTGAATTAGGACTGCCCGAAAAGATCCTCCCTGAATTAGGACAAGGTGTAGGAAGAGTCATTCAGCCACTCGGGCCAACTCCAGTCATTCAATAAGATCAACTGCTAATTGGAATGTGGCCTCCACCCATTTCCCTGACTGAACACTGGGAGCAGGTCAAGAATCTACCAAGTCCTGTCTTAAACATATTTGATGACCCAGCTCTCTGGGGAAGACAGTTTCACAGATTCAAGAGAAAGAAACTCTCATCGTCTCTGTCTGAAATGATTGATCTGCTATTTTTAAACCGAGTCCCTTTGTCCCGTCTCCCTTTTGAGGGGGAATGTCCCTTCAGCGCTGATGCTGCCAAGTCACCTCAGAATATTTTGTGTTCTGATAAGGGCACCTCTTGTGGGACGGTGAGGCATTCCTCCTCACACTGCCCTAATCAAGCCAATGCCTCATGCCTTAACGAGTGGCATGGTGCCTCAGCGGTTAGCACCACTGCCTCGCAGCGCCAGGGACCAAGGTTCAATTCCACGTTCGGGTGAATGTCTACATGGGTTTTCTCTGGGTGCTCCAGTTTCTTTCCACAGCCTAAAGATGCGCAGATGAATTGGATTAGCCATGATAAATTTCCCCTAGTGTCTGGGGTGTGTAGGCTAGATCAATTAGGCCATGGGAAATGTGGGGTGGGCCTCAGTGGGATGCTTTTCAGAGGGTTGGTGTGGACTCGATGAGTTGAATCGCCTGCTTCCACACTGTAGGGATTCTCTGCCTCCCCTATTTTGCTCTTATCACTTTAGCAGGGTGACTGCAGTGCGTGTGAGGGAAGGGTTTGGTTTGCTTTTACCAGGATTTCTCACACCATACACAGGATAGCACAGTCCCTGTCTCATCTCATCCACTGCTGAACACCTCATCCATGTCTTTGTTAGCTCTACACTTGGTCATTCTGAACCATTCCTGGCTGGTTGCTCAGCCTCTCTAACCTTGATGCCATCTCAAATTATCTCACCCTATGTCTGAGGTAACTGTTCCCATCTCACTGTTCTGTGCCTCATTCACCTCATCGGCTCCCACTTCAACAACAGCTCAGTGTTACAATTCTCACTCTTGTTCTCAATCTGGCATGCCCTTACCCCCATCTCCGTAAAGTCCTCCAGCCCCCTACACCCCTTACCCCCATCTCCGTAAAGTCCTCCGGCCCCCTACACCCCCTCCCCATCTCTGTCACCTCCTCCGGCCCACTACACCCCCTCCCCATCTCTGTCACCTTTTCTAGTCCCTACACTCCTCCTTATCTCTGTCACCTCCTACACCCTCCCTACCTGTCACCTCCTGCAGCCCATACACCTCCTATCTGTGTCACATCCTCTGGCCCCTATACCCCATCCCTATCTCTGTCACGTACTCTGGCCCCTATACCCCATCCCTATCTCTGTCACGTACTCTGGCCCCTATACCCCATCCCTATCTCTATCACCGTCTCCAGCCCCTGCATCTCTTCCAATCTCTCTAACCTCCATCAGCTTCCAGCTCTTTCAGATCTCTGCTCTGTTCCAATCCTGGTTTCTTGCACACTCTATCTCAAACCAAGCACTGATGGTTGTCCTGGAGAGCTAAGTGCTATAAATCTCTCCCTCAACCTCTCTGTCTCCCTCTCTGTCCCTAAGCCACCTAAAACTTATCCCTTTGTTTAAGCTTATGGTCACTATCCCAAAACTCTCTTCATGTGGCTGGGGCTCAAATTGTCAATTGTTAATACTCCTGCTTTATTGCATGAAAGGCACAATGTAAATTTGTGCTTTTGTTGTTGTTTTGAGGGTGTGTTGGCGCGTGCGCTGAACAGCACGTACATGTGTCTCACATCACGGCAAGGAGAGTTTTTATCTCAATCGTTTCTACTGTCATTCCCCTGGCTTTTTCTCGGCCCAAGAAAGCTAGTATTCATGAATGACTTACATATTTCTTCTGGAGAGCGTCGTAGCATCCCATCATCCTACACAAAACAGAACAATCGTGTGATATATATTGCACACTGTAACAATAGCCAGCGAGTAATGGTTGGTTATCTCCTGGAGCCACGCATTTATTTTACTCAAGACCACCTCCCCATTTCTGCTCAACACCAGCAATATTTACTCACAAGACTGCTGACAAAGTAGTGGGACCTCCAACAGCTGGTGGTGCCCCTGGGAATGGGGCACGGACGGTTGGTAGGGCATTGAGCAGGGGAGCTCGAGCAGGCAAGTTGACCCTCCCTGGAGGAAAGGGTGTTTCTGGCAGAAAGAGGCCCCGTGGGGAGAACAGGGACGCAGACAAAGCAACTCCTCAACCAGACGTGAACGAGAGGCTTAATTCCACGTGAATCGCCTGTTTTCAGAGTTGAACCCTCACGTTTGGAAAGTGAAATGAAATTACGAATCCCTGCTACGTGATGTTCGGGCCATCTGCACGCCTAACTCCTGCATTACAACAACTTCTACTTACGTAGCACCTTCAGTTTGATGTCCCCAACTCACTGCTGTCATCTAACTGCATTTGACAGCAATATAAATAGGTCAGTCACTTGGTACTGCAAGAAACAAGCTTGCTGAAAAGAGAGACAAGTTTCTGTGGTGACATTAACAACCAATTTCAGATAATCGACTGAGCTCAGAATGGAGCTCATAAATGTTCACTAGACGCGACATGCATTCATAACCCCAGGGATCACATTCTCTGCAAACTGAAGTAATATGTCCAGGCCCTGCACTTTATTTGGATTACCCAGGAGACTGCGGAGCCTATAGTTCCCCATTGGTTTCTCCAAGACGACGGTTTGACCAATCACTGTCATTTCACCAATCATCCTTCTCTCCTGCAGTTCAATTTGTTGCAATTATATAAAGTTTGACATTCTTGCATTGTCCTCATGACTGAAAGTAGAAAATCTTCAACAACTTGTCTCTCTTTTCACTAGGTGGGACAGATGGCCGATAACTGGGTCACTTTTCATATCTCTTCCTATCTTGAACATGTCCTCCAGTTCTCCAGTTCCTATGTCCTCTCCATGTTTCCATAACCTCCCCATGCCCTACATCCTGCCCTACCGCTGTAAGTGCCTCCAGTCCCGTTACACCATCTCTGTAACCTCTTCCAGCCTCGTCTCCCCCTCCTACATGTCACCTCCTCCAGGACCGACACCACCTACCCATCTCTGTCACCTCTTCCAGGACTTACACCGCCTCCCCATCTCTGTCACCTCCTCCAGCCCCTACACCCTCTCCCCATCTCTGTCACCTCTTCCAGCCCCTACACCCCCTCCCTATCTCTGTCACCTCCTCCAGCCCCCTACACCCCTCCCTATCTCTGTCACCTCCTCTATCCCCCTACACCCCTCCCTATCTCTGTCACCACCTCCAGCCCCCTACACGTCTCCCTATCTCTGTCACCTCCTCCAGCCCCCTAGACACCCTCCCTATCTCTGTCACCTCCTCCAACCCCCTACACCCCTCCCTATCTCTGTCACCTCCTCCAGCCCACTACACCTCCCTATCTGTCACCTACCCCCCTCCCTATCCCTGTCACCTCCCCCAGCCCCCTATACCCCCTCCCTATCCCTATCACCCTCTCCATCCCCGACACCGTAGTGATTGTAACGAAGTCTGCCAGGTGGACCCCATAGAATATGAGGTCCCTGACTGGGGCTGTTAATCTGGTCCAATCAGGGAGCCCTGGCTGACAAATATAAACAGGAGGGTCAGTCAGAGCTTCTGTTCACTCTGAGAGCTGGATCTGCAGGAGCTGGATCAATGTCAAGGTCTCTCCACGTGTAAAACAAGGATAGCTTGGTGATGGAATATTATTCTCTGTGGAATTATTTCAGACACTTAGACCATAAGACATAGAAGCATAAATCAGGCCATTCGGCCCATCGAGTCTGCTCTGCCATTAAATCATGGCTGATAAGTTTCTCAACCCCATTCTCCTGCTTTCTCCCCGTAACCCTTGATCCCCTTGATAATCAAAAACCTATCTATCTCAGTCTTAAATGTACTCAATGACCTGGCCTCCACAGCCTTCTGCGGCAGTGAATTCCATAGATTCACCACTCTCTCTGGCTGAAGAGGTTTCCCCTTATCTCCGAATTAAAAGCTCTTCCCTTTACTCTCAGGCTGTACCGTCAGGTCCTAGTCTCTCCGACCAATAGAAACATCTTCTCAACATCCACTCTGTCCAGGCCATTCAGTATTCTGTAAGTTTCAATTAGATTCCACCCCCTCATCCTTATAAACTCCATCGAGTATAGGCCTAGAGTCCTCAAACATTCCTCATATGTTAAACTTTTCATTCCTGGGACCATTCTCGTGAATCTCCTCTGAACCCGCTCCAGGGTCAATATATCTTTCCTGAGATATAGGGCCCAAAACTGCACACAATACTCCAAAAGTGGCCTGACCACAGCCTTATAGACCCTCAGAAGTACATCTCTGAAACTTCTTCCCATCTCTGTAACCTCCTCCAGCAACCTACACCCCCTCCCTATCTCTGTCACCTTCTCCAGCCCCCTACACCCCCTCCCTATCTCTATCATCTCCTCCGGCCTCCACAACCCCTCCCTATCACTGTCACCTTCTCCGGCCTCCATACCCTCTCCCTACCTCTGTCACCTCCTCCGGACTACACACCCCCTCCCTATATCTGTCACCACCTCCAGCTGCTTCATTCCTACGTATCACCCCAGGAGCTTCGTATAAAATGCAAGTAGTTGTCATTACAGGAGATATCACACGGTTTCTTTTACAATTCTGAAGAATAAAGAAGAATTGCCACAAACCATTTGACAATTTGAGAGGATCCCGGGCAGTTGTCATCCTCCCTTAGAATCTTGATGCAAAGATCTGAGGAAACGACAAATTTAAGATTGGATTTCTTCAGCACAAACACCACCACCTGGGAAAACTCACCAGAAATCAACGCAGAATTTCACAGAATCCCTACAGTGTGGAAGCAGGCCATTCAGCCCATGAAGTCCACACGAACTTCCAAAGAGCATCCCACCCCTGTACCCTATCCCTGTGACACCACATTTCCCATGGCCAATCCACCCTAACCCACACATCCCTGGGCACTATGGGACAATTCAGCACGGCCAATCCACCCTAACCAGCACATCCCTAGGCACTATGGGACAATTTAGCACGGCCAATCCACACTAACCCGCAAACCCTGGGCACTATGGGACTCACGGCTAATCCACCCTAACCTGCACATCCCTGGGCACGACGGGGACAATTGAGCATGGCCAATTCACCCCAACCTGTACATCCCTGGACACTACAGGACAATTTAGCACGGCCAATCCACCCTAACCTGCACATCCCTGGGCACTATGGGACAATTTAGCAAGGCCAATCCACCCTACCCTGCAGACCTTTGGACTGTGGGTAGAAACCGGAGCACCTGGAGAGAATCCGTGCAATCATGGGAGAGAACATGCAGACTCCACACAGACAGTCACCCGAGGGTGGAATTGAGGCAGCAGTGCTTACCACTGAGCCGCCGTGCTACGTACGGTTGGTTGCTGACAGCTGATCATCTGAAAACTGAGATTTTCATAATTTCGAGGCATGAAGGGTTATGGAGTCAACATTAGTAGATTCAGGTAAGCTACAGATCAGACCTGTCCTCATTGAATAGTAGAACCAGCTCAGAGGGCCAGATGGCCTCCTCCTGCACCTAACTGTGATAGTCTAGTCTGCCCTGTAGTGCCCAGGGATGTACACATTAGGGTGGACTGGCCGAGCTAAATTGTCCCACAGTGTCCAGGGGTGTACAGATTAGGGTGGATTGTCCGTGATAAATTGCCCTGTAGTGCCCAGGCATGTATAGGTTAGGAGGGTTAGTAACGGGAAATGCAGGGTTACAGGGATAAGGTGGGGGTGGGTGCCCTCTAGTTTTGGACTCCCCCTTACCCTGGAGGGAAAAGACCTTGGCTATTCACCCTATGCATGCCCCTCATGATTTTATAAACCCCTATAAGGTCACCCCCTCAGCTTTCGATGCTCCAGGGAAAATAGCCCCAGCCTATTCAGCCTCTCCCTGTAGCTCACAACCTCCAACCCTGGCGAGATTCATGTAAATATTTTTTGCTCTTAGTGTGGCGTAAAAAAGTAAAGAAATAAAGGTCAACCATTGTAGACTTATTTCAGTAGAGATAGCAAGAACTGTAGATGCTGGAGTCAGAGTCAACACAGTGTGAAGCTGGAGGAAGGCAGCATCAGAGGAGCAGGAAAGTTGCTATTTCGGGCCTAGCCCATAACATCAGCTTTCCTGCTCCTCTGATCCTGCCTGACCTGGTGTGTTCCTCCAGCTCCACCCTGCAGAGACTTTCTTAAGTGCGTAGCCTTGCTGGGACTTCCTACAAGATCTCAATCTCTTCCGCTTTGTCACGCTTTCCCCACGCTGGCTCGATCTCCCCTGCTCTCGTCATCGCTGCACATGTCAGGGAGGCCTCCATTTCAGACTGCCAAAGACGCACTTCAGAGGGAGGTGAATGACGCTGCTTCCCTCACTCCCCAGCCCCTCTCCCCCGCTTGCACAGAACCGAGGAAGGATGCCTTTCGGCCCAACAGAGTCCGGACTGAAGACCTCCGAAGAGCATCCCAGCCCCCTACCGTACCAGACCATAAAGAAAGGTTACCCTGCAGGTATCGTGTGCCGTAGGCGTGCTCGGGGAAGAGGCCTCGGAGATACGTGATGCAGGAGATGGCCACTGCTAGCAGCCGTTTTACCAGGACCAACGACTGTTGCTCCGTGGTAACCTTGCTAGGGAACATGGCCGCACCCTGCGAAGCAGATAGAAGAAAGAGCATCAAACGCGACGGTCTCACTATGGCCCAAACCTCCTCAGTCCTTCACGCAGTTTCCAGACACAACATCAGAGGGCAAAGCATGGACATTTTCCCCAGCCCTGAACTGTTGCTGCCTTGGAAGATGCCAGCTGAAAGGGCCGCAGACACTGATCTGACAGTCCCTTCCGCAAGCGAACCCCTGACTCTTCCGAGGAGGAAAGCGGGGTGTGGATATTTTATCAACCTGCTCAGAGGAGTTGTCGCGCACAGAAATCGTTGGGAGAAACTCAGCAGGTCCAGTGGCAGCTTTGGAGAGGGAAAGCAGAGTGAGCATTTTGAGTCTGAAGAACTGAATAGAATTAGCTTTGCTGTCACATGTACTCACATGAGCACAGTGAAAAGTTTACAAGTCTCCACTTATGGCACCATCTCAGGTACAAAGGTTAGGTACAGATTCTTGAGTACAAAGTCTTGGGGGAAAGGAATTTTAAAAGTTTACAGACCTACAAAAGTACAAAATCATTGTAATACATTAGCAAAATACAGAAATAAAGAGTTCAGAATAATAGTCCTTCCACAAAACTAAAATTCATGAAAAGAAAAATTAAGACAATGTCTACCGAGGGCCAAGGAGGTTCATTAGAACCAAAACGTTAACTCTGCTTTTTCTCCACAGAACACAGAATCCTGACTGTGTGGAAGCAGTCTATTCGGCCTATTGAGTCCACAATGACCCTCTGACATCGTCCCACCTAGACCTACCCTCTCCCAATTCCTGTTACACTCCATTTCTCACGGCAAACCGACCTAGCTTGTACATTCCTGGGCACTACGGGACAATTTAGCACGGCCAATCCACCCTAACCTGCACATCCCTGGGCACTACGGGACAATTTAGCACGGCCAATCCACCCTAACCCGCACATCCCTGGGCACTACGGGACAATTTAGCACAGCCAATCCATCCTACCCTGCACATCCCTGGACACGATGGGGCAATTTAGCACAGCGAATCCAGCCTAACCCGCACGGCCAATCCACCCTAACCTGCACATCCCTGGGCACTACGGGACAATTTAGCACAACCAATCCACCCTAACCAGCACATCCCTGGGCACTACGGGATAATTTAGCACGGCCAATCCACCCTACCCTGCACATCCCTGGGCACTACGGGATAATTTAGCACGGCCAATCCACCCTACCCTGCACATCCCTGGACACTACGGGGCAATTTAGCATGGCCAATCCACCCTAACCTGCACATCCCTGGACACTATGGGGCAATTTAGCACGGCCAATCCAGGCTAACCTGCACATCCCTGGGCACTACGGGACTATTTAGCACGGCCAATCCACCCTAACCTGCACATCCCTGGGCACTACGGGACAATTTAGCACGGCCAATCCACCCTAACCCGCACATCCCTGGGCACTACGGGATAATTTAGCACGGCCAATCCACCCTACCCTGCACATCCCTGGACACTACGGGGCAATTTAGCATGGCCAATCCACCCTAACCTGCACATCATTGGACACCAGGGCGCAATTTAGCACGGCCAATCCACCGTAACCTGCACATCCCTGCACTGTGGGAGGAAACCCACGTAGACATAGGGAGAATATGCAAATTCCACACACAGGGTGGAATTAAAACTGGATCCCTGGCACTGTGAGGCAGCAGTGCTAACCAGCCAGCCACTGTGCCCCCCACCTTACACCACCAGACCTGCTGAGTTTCCCAACTAATTTTTGGGTTTTGCTTCAGCATCCACAGTTGTTTGGTTTATTTGAGTCATTACACAGTTCTGATGAGTTGGGGCCTGAACTTGAGCCTCGTGTCCCTGAGATAGGGAGGGAGAAGGGATATGCTGATTGATAAGGTCACATTCTCCATTCTTTCAATGGGATGTGGGCATTGCAACATTATTGGCTCATTAGAGCCATTTCAGAGGATAGTCGACAGCGACATTCTAATTTCTCCTGCCGCTGTGGGAACCTTCAAGCGACAGTGTGTTCCAAAAGTGAAAGCTAAGTGTTGGGACTTCGATTGGGCCATGTGTAGGGGATCCCAGCGAAAGCGCAATCTAGAGGGAACATTGGTGAAGTCAAACACTTTTCTGTGGTTTGCCATGACAGGTAGGCCAGACTGTGTAAGTACGGCAGATTTCCTTCCCAAAATAGCATTCATGAACCAGATGTGTCTTTACAATGTCAGACAACAACCATAGGGGCAACCATCAGAGAGATTAGCTTTACATCCCAGATTTATTAATTGGATTTATTAACTGTGTCCACTCCTGGTCGCATCGTTATAGGAAGGATATTATTACGCAGAAGAGGGTTCAGAAGAGATTTACCAGGATGTTGCCAGGAATGGAGGGTTTGAGTTATAAGGAAAGGCTGGAACGTTTTTCACAGGAGTGTAGGAGGCTGAGGAGGTGACCTTTATAGAGATTTATAAAATCATAAGGGGGCAGGGATAAGGTGAATGGCAGGTGTCTTTTCCCTTGCATCAGGGATTTCAAAACTAGGAGGCATATTGTGAAGGGGAGAGGAGAAAGATTATTAAAGGACACGAGGCAATTTTTTTTTACATAGAGAGTGGTTCATGTGTGGAATGAACTTCCTGAGGAAGTGGTGGAGGCAGGTACAGTTACAACGTTTAAAAGACATTTGGATAATTACATGAATAGGAAAGGCTTGGAGGGATATAGGCCAGGAGCAGGCAGGTGGGACTGGTTTAGTTTGAGATTATGGTCAGCATGGGCTGGTTAGACCGAAGGGTCTGTTTCCGTGCTCTATGAATTGAACTTTCACCAGCTGTTGAGTGTATCCCTAGAGCATTAACCTGGCAGCCACTGGATTCCGCCCCGAATGACAATCCCACTACATTACCATTGTCAGTGTAGCAGGAGTTATAGGAACAGGAGGAGGCCATTCAGCCTGTTACGCCATTCAGTGACATCATGGCTGATCTATGGCCTAATTCCAACTTGTCTTTGGCTCATATCCCTTAAGACCATTGCTTAGCAAAGTTTATGCATCTCAGATTTAAAATTAACAACCGATCTAACATCAACAGCAGTTTGTGTAAGAGAGTTCTAAACTTCTACCCACTTTGTGTGTAGAAGGGCATCCTAACATTTCTCTCTTGAATGGTCTGGCCCTAACCTTTGGACTATGTGCCCTACGTCCCTAGTTCCCAGTCCTTTCCTGCTAATATCTTGAAGATTTCGGCCAGATCACCCTTTAATCTCTTAAATTCTGGAGAAAACAGGTCTACAATCTCTCCTCATAACGTAACCCCTGAAGTCCAGGTATCATTCTCGTAAACCTACGTTGTGCTCCCTCTGAGGCCAATCCATCCTTCCTGAGGAGTGTGCCCAGACCTGCTCACCAGGTGGGATCTAGCCAGGGTTTTGTATAACCACAGCATTTCTTCTGCATTTTTACACTCCAGTCCTTTACATTTACAGGCCAGCATTCCATCAGCTTTCCTGACTATTTTCTGCATCTGTTTTTGGCATGTTTAAGACCTATTCACATGAACCCCAAAGTCTCTTTGGACATACGTTGTAATTAACTTCATACCATATTGGAGGTACCCTGATCTGTCCTCTGTCAGTCCAAAACAGATAACCTCACACTTGATTACACTGAAACCTATCTGCCACAGTTTTGCCCATTCACCTAGTCTATCAATCTCCCTTTTTAATTTCATGCTATCATCTACACTGTCTGCAATAGCCCCCAACTTTGTGTCATCAGCAAATCTGGATATCTAACTTGCTATGCCATCATCCAAGTCATTAAGATGCTGAGTTCTGGAGATGTCCAGCACGGAAACGGACCCTTCGGTCCAACTCGTCCATGCCAACCAGATATCCTAAATTAATCTAGTCCCATTTGCCAGCATTTGGCCCCTATCCCTCTAAACCCTTCCTATCTATGTCTCCATCCAGATGCCTTTTAAATGTTGTAAATGTACCAAACTCCACCACTTCCTCTGGCAGCTCATTCCATACACGCACCATCCTCTGCATAAAAAAGTTGCCCCCTCAGATCCCCTTTAAATCTTTCCCCTCTCACCTTGAACCTATGCCCCTCTAGTTTTGGCCTCCCCTACCCAAGGGAAAAGACCTTGGATATTCACCCTATCCATGCCCCTCATGATTTTATAAACCTCTGTAGGGTCACCCCTCAGCCTCCGACGCTCCAGGGCATGTTGAAAAGGTCTCTCACCATCTTCTACAGATGCACCATTGAAAGCATATTGTCTGGGTGCAAAACAGCCTGGTATGGCAACTGCTCTGCCCAGGACCATTAGAAGGTGGTGTGCACAGCCCAGACCATCACGGAAGCCAACCTTCCATCCATGGACTCCATTTACACAGCTCGCTGCCAACATCATCAAAGACCCGTCGCACCCCAGTAATGATCTCCTACAACCTCTTCTGTCAGGCAGAAGATACAGAAGCCTGAGCACACGCACCAGCAGGTCCAGGAACAGCTTCTTTCCAGCTGTTATCAGACTGCTGAAGGGGCTCTAGCCTCAAACAATGTAACCTGCAATGTAACCTGTATGCCTCTAAGGCTTTTTGATCTGTACATCCTTTGCTTGCCGTGATCTGCCTGTACCGTTCATAAACAAAGCTTTTCACTGTATTTTGTTACACATGACAAAATATCAATCAATCAATCAAAACAGCCCAGCCTATTCAGCTTCTCCCTATAGCTCAAACACTCCAAAAGCCTTGTAAATCTTGACTGTACCCTTTCAAGTTTCACAATGTCCTTCCTATAGCAGGGAGACCAGGATTGAACGCAGTATTCCAAAAGTGGCCTAACCAATGTCCTGTACTGCCACAACATGACCTCCCAACTGACCAATAAAGGCAAGCGTACCAAACACCTTCTTCACCGCCCTGTCTACCTGCGACTCCACTTTCAAGGAACTATGCGCCTGCACCCCAAGGTCTCTTCGTTCGGCTACACTGCCCAGGACCTTACCATTAAGTGTATAAGTCCTGCCCTGATTTGCCTTTCCAAAATGCAACACCTCGCATTTTGCTGATTGCTGTTAACTGATTAATTAAGTGACTGAGTAAATATAAAGGGGCAACAAGAGGGTCTTGTGACAGAGTGGGTAGTGTCCCTAATTCTGGGGCAGTAGCTCCAGGTTCACATCTCATCCTAGGATGTGATGTCCCATGGAGGTGTGTCCCAGGTTGATTAAAGAGAAATTAAAAGACGTGGAAATGAGTGCGGCATTACCAGTGTGATTGCACAGTCTCTTATAATCTCTTATCCACAGCGAAAAGGTATCTCGAGTTCTATTTTAATGGCAACGAACTTAGAGTCATACAGCATGGAAACAGACCCTTTGGTCCAACCCGTCCATGCCAACAATAATTTGCAAGCTAAACTAGTCCCACCTGCCTGCGCTTGACCCATATCACTCCAAACCTTTATTGTTCATGTACTTATCTAAATGTCTCGAATTAAGAACCGCCTCTGCCTCGAATGAAGTATGAGATCCACACGGACAACTATTCAAAGTGCTGGTTGGAAAGGGGTCATCTCCAGGGAAAGGGGTCATTCTGAAGGACGGACTTGATGCAAGGTATCAAAAAGGAGAAAGAAGGGTAAATGATGAAGAGGAAGGGTTTAAAAACGATTGTATTTTTCTCTCAAAAGGTTGAGTTTAGAGGTGAGGGGTCTGTCTTATGAAGAGGGATTGAGCAGTTTAAGCTTAGACTCTACGGAGTTTAGCAGAATGAGATCTAACTGAGATGCAGAAGATGCTAAACGGGATTGATAAAGTAGACATACAAAAATTGTTGGAAAAGCACAGCAGGTCAGACAAAATCCGAGGAGCAGGTTTCGGGCTGAAACATTGACGTACCTGCTCCTCGGATGTTGTCTGACCTGCTGTGCTTTTCCCGCCTCACACCTATAGACTCTGCTTCCAGCATCTGCAGTCCTTATTGTCTCCGAGTAGAAAAAATGTTTCCTCATGTAAGGCAAATCTAGATCAAGAGGTCATAGTTTTAGGCTAAGGGGTGGCAGATTTAAAACAGAGATGAGGAGAAATTACTTCTCGCAAAGGTTTGTGAATCTGTGGAATTCACTCCCCGAGAGTGTAGTGTATTCTGGAGCAGTGAGTTGGTTTAAAGTCATAGATTCATACAGCACGGAAAAAGACCCTTTGGTCCAGCTCATCCGCGCCGAACAGACATCCGCGTCTGACCTAGTAGCGTTTGCCAGCATTTGGCCCATACCCCTCCAAACCGTTGCTATTCATGCACCCATCCAGATGCTTTTTAAATGCTGTTAAATGATTAACACATTACAACTCACTCCGTTCACGCTACATTCCCCCGCCCCCCCCACCACCCCCACCACCCCACACACATTGGCTAAAGCGGTAGCTGCTGAATTGGCAAACGGCAAACAGTACCATTGTGTTTTTCTGCATCTGGACGACTGCCATATCTGGGCTGGTCCTGTGAGGATGACCTGCGAATACAGAAAAGGTCGTGGCGGTGAACAGCTAGCGAGAATCTAGACAGCAGTCCCTAGCCTTGTCAAACCAAGCTGGCCGGCAGGAGCCACACAGGGAAAAGAGGCTGGACTAGTTTCCACATCCGCTGGCCTCGGTGCCTCTGTGGTAGGGTTGGAAGGCAGTCAGCACACCTATCCACGGACGGACCTTCTACTGCCGCGATGGCACCTGTAGTCGAACAGCCCGACCACCTGCCAGTCGCCACTCAAGACAGAAGAGTAATGGAGCACTGTCAACAGGTGCACTGTGTTCTCTGTGTATTTCCAGAAAGAATATTAACAATACATTCATAGGTCAATCATCCATAAACAAACCTCCGCCAGCCGCTGGATTGCCAGTACTCTGTAAAGGAACGGGCATCTTCCATTCCAGTCTAATTCTGAAATCCCTGGGATCAATGCCCCACGCCAGTGACTTAACCCAAGAAGGTTGGAGGGGTCAGCGCTGAGGGAACTCCACACTGATCAGCTTAACATATCATCAGAAAGATGGCATGCTTGACAAGGTGGCACTACTTCAGCATTGACCCTGACAGTGCAGCACTCCCTCAGCACTGACCCTCCGACAGTGCCCGCTCCCTCAACACCGACCCTTCGACAGTGACCGTCCCTCAGCACTGACCCTCCGACAGTGCCCGCTCCCTCAGCACTGACCCTCCGACACTGCCCGCTCCCTCAATGCTGACCCTCCGACAGTGCCTGCTCCCTCAGCACTGACCCTCTGTCAGTGACCATCCCTCAGCGCTGACCCTCCGACAGCGCCTGCTCCCTC